AAACGCATGCAGTGTGTGAGACAATCTGTTTCTCTAAACCCTTACAGGTACACCCAGGCACACCGGGGGCGAGATAACAGCATCTGACTACTACAAGGTCCTCTGTCTTAAGTCTATTAAAACAGATTGGGGGATTTTAAAGTTAAACCACCTTTGTTCTTTTTTTCCCCTTAAATTAATAATTACAGTGCAGGATCTTTTGTGTGTTTTTTGTGCATTTGAAGCCTTATTAAAATAAAATCCAACTCTGATCAAGACTAGATAATTTTTCATCATATTAGGATGCATTTAACCCTACAAAAATATATATTTTTATTAAAAAATGTACTTTCTTCTTACCGTGACTCTATGCGACAACTTATTCTATTCGTCTTGAACAACAAAAATATCAATGTGAATGCAATGAATAAGCTGAAGACAAGACAGACAATGAGATTGAAAAGCTGAAGTGAAGCTGAATTTGTTAAAAAGTTTTTATTTTAAAAATGAAGAAAAAAAATGGTTAACAAATAAATTAAAAAAAGCTTTACTTGAAACCTGGTACACGTAAAGAGGTTAGAATAAAAGTAGAGCTAACTTTTGAAATGAGTCTGTCAGATGTTCAAAAGCCTAAAACAAATTATCTAAACCTCAAGAGAAACTCCAAGTTTCAAAATACTTAAGAAAAAACAAAACTGCCAAAGAAACAGTTTAAACAATATTTTTTTGAAAAAAAGAAAAGCAGAAAAAAAGGAATGAAGGGCTTTTATTCTCTGAAGGTTATGCGCTGAGTGAACTTATGTAATTTCTCAAAATTAAATTCTTATTAAACAAAATTTAACATTATTATTATAAAAAATAAACAGTGCCCCACGTTTCTTATTTTAAGAGGTAAAATAACACAGATTGTAGAAGTAAAGAGCCCAAAAAAGCCTCTGAAGCAGGTTGATCTTAAGAAAATCTCTTGTTTAATCAAGAAAGGATATTCAAATTGAACGCCATTATTAATAAAGTAACAATTTAAAAAAGCACTCTAAACAATCTGCTGCATTTTCTTTCTTTTACCTGTGATGTTTTAACCCTTATCCACAAAGGTAGGTTTAATTTGTATGATTTGAAACTAAAACCCTGAGCCGGAATATCTGGAAGCAGAAAAAGAAACCTAAAATATTCAACCTCTTGTGCCAAGCCAGCAATTTTTATTTAATGACTGGGCAGCATGTTTGGTTTTGGTCTCCAGTTATCAATACATCCAAGGGCAGAAGTTTGCTCAGGAGAGGCCTCTGGATGCCGGCCAATCGGAGCAGCAGCTTGAGCTGGTTGGGAACGAGAGCCATAATGAGTCTCAAACTGAAGCTGCACTGAGATGCACTGAAGACAGCTGGTAAAGCGTAGGTAGATGGTTCTCTCATAGAGTAAATGCTGTAGATCTGATCATTTCATTCAGAACATTTGAACAATACACAAACGTTAAACGAATAGACTTCCTTTTAAAAATCTAGATTTAATTGTAATGGAAACTCATCAGATTTATTTAGGACTGAAGTGCATAGAGCAAAGTCAGAAATATCTTTACCTTTTAAACAGCAGAGCAGCTCTAACAGGAAGAAATGTGAAACATGAAAGAGCGGCCACACTGAGCTGCTGAACGAAGAGCTGCAGGTGACAGGCTGCACACGTCCAACATCCCAGCAAGGTAACCAGCTCCTTTCCTTCTGCCCTGCTGCTCAAACGCTGCTGGTGTGTGAAGTCCAGATCGGATTACGGTTGCTCACAGAATAATGAGAAACAGCCTATCGCTGACAACTTCTTAAAGAGAGCAGGTTTGTTTTTGCAACTGGTGATTCTTTGACCTCTGATCAGATACTGGATTATCTGGGTTATCTATTTTTTTACTAAAACACCACAGGCATTACTTTAAAGTAGTGGGGAAACTGCATTAAGACATCATGTAGATATAATAAAAATAATTATAACTGCTTCTCATCAACAATATCGTAATAAACATGTATTCAAAGTGTGTGAATTTAAAGAGTAAATGGGAAGATCTTTTTTTTTAAAGAAATGAAACAACATTGAAGTCTTAATAAGCACTGAAATATCTAAAAATCAGTTTATCAACAGGATGATAATAAATCAAAAAGAGTTGAAAGTTTGACAAAAGCTGATAAGTAAGCGTTTCCTATGGAACCAACAGCCAGTTTGAGTCTGTGAGGCAGACACCCTGCCTACTTTTAAGGTAGGCTTAATACTTTCGTTTTTGAAAAAGTCCATGGTTATAGGTTATCCTTAGCTATCTATATAGTTCTGCTGCAATAGGCCTAGACTGCTGGAGGACATAGGGACCAACTTTTTATCATTCTGCTTATTCCTATCTATTCTCCCACTCTGCAGAATTTGTCATTTCAGGCTCTAACATTCTGCTCTCTTTGCTTTTTCTCATAGTAGCTTTGCCTCGTCTGTTCCTGTTTGGCTGTGACACCGTTCTGGAAGGAAATATCAGCTGTGCTGCTGCCATCAACACCTACAGTATGTTTATACTGTAGATGTTGAAGCTTGGCCTGTTTGTCAGTGTAGTCCTGTTTCTCTGACTGTGACTGAATGTGTGTGCTCTCTTTCATCCTCTGACATGGGAGCTGTCTCAGAGCTCCTCTGCCTGGCTGTGTGTTTCCTGGACGGGGCCGCCTTTTGTATCATTGCTTCATTTTCTGTATCAGCCTATGTCTCCTTGAACCCCAGTTGGCCTCTGCAGATGGCCGTTCACACTGAGCCTAGTTCAATTGAAATTGAATTCAAATCACATATATTCAAAAATATTGCATTCATAACTATAACTAATTTAAAGGCGAGGGATGATTACTTTCCAAGTTTCATGTTTTGGGCATTGATAGTTTTATATTAAGAAATGAATGTCAAGTCTAGGATTTCTGCCAAAAGGCTCTGGGGTTTACCTAACTAAATAAAACAAAAAAAGGGAGCAAAGAGGACTTTTTACACATATTAGTTATAGTAGCATCAAAGCACCTCCTTGAGGCAGCCATTTTGAAGCTTCTTCCACACAGCCTTAGTAGAGGGCAAATCTGCCCCCTGGAAGAATTCACTCCGATATAGCAAAAGATCCTCCATGAAACCATAACAGATAGGAAAATATCCATAAATGTGCCATAAATTGTAAATTTACGAGAACTAATTCATGACATAAGAAAGTTTCTTAACGATTTTAAAGGTTTTTTTTTTCTTTCAAATTTGTATTATTAGTATCAGAAAACATATTAGTACAAAACTGAACATTGAGGGTTTTTTTTCCACAAATTTGCAACTTTTCAACATGAGATAATTTCCTAGCTTTATTTTTCTCTGCACAAGGTGATTTTTGAGTGGTGCTGCCCCTTCAGGATCATTTGTGTATGAAACTGCCCTCCACTTGGCCCTCACATCGACCTTCTGCTGTCACTATCAAAGCAGTCACACATACATACACAGACACACACACACACACACACACACACATACATACATACATATATATATATATATATATATATATATATATATATATATATATATATATATATATATATATATACTTATATATATATAAAATGTAAACTATTGTACAGTATCCTTTTTTCTGCAAATTTTCACTTCTATCAAAGACAGTGAAGTTTAAATCTGCCACTTCAGTGAACTGTTTTGTATTTGTATGTATAAAATAAAATAGAAAGAAAAAAAATCCAGTACTGCGCCGCCATTTTGTAGTTTTTTTCCTTGAAGCCTACACTATATTGCGAGTCAAAAAAAACTACACGAACCAAAAACCAATAGTGCTTCCGCTCTGAGTTTTTTACCCACGCTCAAAAAAAACAAAACAAGAATGGGAGTGGTGCAGGAGCGGGAGTCATTCTGAATGGGAGCGGGATGGGGTGGGAGTAATTTCACCAGGAGTGGGACGGGACAGGATTTAGATTTCTACTCTGGCTCGGGATCGGGACGGGACACAATTTTTTTCTGTGGGAGTGGGACGGGACAGGAGTGAAAATCCACTCCCGTGTCAGTCTCTACTCTACATACAACCATCTAAGGAAACACTAATTGCTAAGGACAATGTAGGGGAACCATTTACCCAACCAATTTAATTTATTTTAATATGAAAGGAAGATGGAGTACCAGGAAAGGGCCCAAAAAATGCATAGGGAGACTGTAAACTCCATACAAAAAGATAGCTGGCTTGGGTTTGAACCCAGGACTCTTTGCACAGGGTCCTGAAGTCAAAACAGCCTGTGTTAATTATTGTCAAAAAACAGACTGCTTTCAGCCTAATATCGCTTTGAGGAGTAGTTTTGTCATTTAGATATTGTCCATTTAAACTTCTATCGTATTTGATCATCTATGTTAATATATGCAGCCCAGTTACTAGCAGTGATTGATCTTATGTGCACAATGTACAATGTGATAATGTACATATATGCATAAATCAGAAGATAAATGCCCTAATATAGCAGGGTTTTTAAGCAACTATAGCTGGTTTTAGTAAAAAAATTAGAAAATGTGGATGTTGTGACTGTTCAGTTTACAGCTTTCAAGTTTTGCTGGTGGTTCTGGCAAAAATAGCAGCACCATGTGCAGGTGACGCAGCCTAATTAAAAAACTACTAAGAAAAACAATCACAGTCACTCTCTACAATACCTAATTTTTTTTAGGCATGTCCTACATAATTAGGTGACATAAATGCAAAGAGTTAACATGTTAAATGAATTAACACCAGGTTACTAAAAAAAATACAAACTTCAAAGAGAAATAAAGTACTTTTCTTTTAAACAACAGGAGGATATGCCTGTTTTCTCTGAAATATGATGTATATTTAGTCTTATCAGCATATCATTATAAGTGATTAGGTTAGCTTGGCTTGAAAACAAGACACAAAGGAAGACAAATTAAGTACCCTAGAAGAAGTGCATTTTTAACATTTGGGACCTCAGTATAATAAATGCAGATTTGTGTGTGGGGTCTTATCACAGTACCTGTGGTGAACATGGTATCCTGCTGCATTGATAGTCCAGCCCAGCTCCTCGGGGTCTGGAATCTTGGCTGTCATGGCGATCAGATGTTGAACATCTCTCCATGTCAACAATGGACTGGTGCAAGAGAGAGAAAAACAGGAAAAAAAAAACATGTCACCTAAACAAACCCATCCATCGATTCATTGAGGAAACATTTAAACTTTGTCAGACAGCGTGATGGGAAACAAACAAAGAGGTGCATGTGTTTCTGTAGGCTTAGATTACAATAACCAGGCTCCCATGTAGAGCTTTTACTGGATCGCTGCAAAGATTTATTGATGCATATGCTGCTGCAAAGAGACACTATACCCTTAAAAGCAGGTGCTCTATATATAAAAGGGCCTCTTTAGGTCAGGGCTACATTACTGATAATGGTGTCACTAAAAACTGTGAATCCAACAAAGAATATCTGATTCTTTACAAAAGAGTCAGAAGAGCCAAATGCAGCAAAAGTCCTCTTTTTAATCCCAAGCAGGGGAATTCTAATAGAGCCGACTCAAGTGTCATGTCAAGCAATATACTAATGGAATCCAATTAAGACCTTTAAACTGCGCAGAGAGCTGGAGGATATTAGCTCAGTTTTCTATAACAAAAGACCAAAGGGTCGTCAACCAGGGTTTTTTTTCCTTCCATCCTATGAAAAGTATAAAGGAAATTAGTTTTTTTTTCCAGCTTTATCCACTCTTTATTGTTCTCTAAGAAAATGATTTGAATGAAAACTCTTCAGCTGCCTGATCATTTTTATTTCTGAGGAGAAATGCCACTGATCTCAGCTTCAACATCTGCCCACAGACAGACACACTCTGGGGGCACAGCTGGAGAGAAGGATGGCTCTGAAAGCAAAGCAACACTTTTAGCCCTAATTTCTACCATCAATGTCAAAGCTAGCAAAGGTTAGGAAAAATGCGACTTTAAACACGACAGAGATGCCAAGGAAAACATTTAATCCAATTCTGCATACTATGGAGGTCAAAAATGACGATTAAGTTAGCATAAAACAACTCACCCTTTTCAATCTCAACATGGGACATGCTTTCTTAACAGAATCACAAACGCTTAAAATTTCAATTAATATACAAATGAATGCAAAATAAATTACCCAAATGTAGCGGTTTGACAATCTTATAAGGTTGTCTGAGAAATTACTTTTTTAATGTGAATATAGTCCAGAAATCAAAAATGAGCTGCAGCAAAAATATGCAAACATCGCTGGTCTCTCATATCTCATTAGAGATGTACTGATACATCGGTCAACCGATATATCTGTTCAATATTTTTTTATTTTATTAGCTTTGACCATTACATAAATCTATTTTCTGATTCATTCACTTATTCAGCAGCCATGCCGTGAGATCATGTGAGGCACCTGCATTGCCACTCTTCTACTATCAGTTGTTAATGGTTTGTTTGATTTGCCTATTCACTTTTTTTGTTTGTTTTAATTGAGACCTGTTTAACATTTGTTTTTATATTTATTTTTTATCATGTATATGGTGGAAGAAAAAGCATTAATCCCCCCCCAAAAAAATTGGAACTATATTTCGATCAGATAATGTGAAAATAATCGGCTTTAAAAAAAAGCTGTTGTATATGGAAACAGTGTTTGAGTATTGTTAGCCCTCATGCAGTGGCTTTTATATATTATGAAGTATTTGACATTTTGCCACAATTTACTTTTTTAGCATAAATTTTGATATGCATGATCAGGTAAAGGTAGTGCATAGCTGCGTGGTGTGGAAAAGTTGCATCATTTGAAAAGAATTAAAAAACTGTGGAACTGTAGAAAGTGAAAGGTGAAAGTGTATTCAGCAAGCTTCAGTCAATAATTAATTATTTATACTTTTTGCTCCAATTACAGGTGCAGATCTTTTGGAGGTTATTACCATCCAGGGACTTTGACCTTATTTGGTACATTTGAATGAAAATCTCTGCTTGCATACAAATTCCAGTTTTGGCATAAATTTCAACTTCTTGTGGTTCTTGTCTTTGACTGACTCACAAATGTGCTTTGATCTAAACCAGGTGTTCCCAAAACTTTCAGCCCACGACCCCCAAGGTGATGGTGCAAGGGGCTTGCGACTCCCCCACATTAAATGAATATAGACATTGCGGGCAACCGCGCACACACTATAGGCATATCCAAACATTAGCATATTGACAAAAAAAATAAAAATAGCACAACATCCATAACATTATTCTACAGTAATTTACTCATTACTTTAATCTGAACTTAACCTCTCCTAATGGGATGGACATGCGATATGTTTGGAGCACAGCAAGTCCAATCTCGGTTTAATGTCGGAGGCCGCTACTCAGAGATCATCCTCCACATTCAGTCGACATTTGTATTTATTCTTAAGGTACATCAGTGCCGAGTAGGTCTTTTCGCAAAAGTAGGTACTGCCAAACGGCATCAGCACATCAAAAGCCACCCTGTATAGCCGTGGTTATTCCAGCTCAACTGAAATCCAAAACTCAACCAGCGTCTTAGAAGTAAACGCTGTCTTTAAGGTTCGGTGGCTATTTCTAATCTTTGTAAAATTTTTATTTTATTTCTGGAAATCAACTTGCGATCCCCCACACTCTGGCTTCTCCTAGCCCAAATTTGGGAATCACTGATCTAAACCATTGCCTTCCAGTGTAGCTCTGGCTGTTTGCTTCGGGTCGTTCTCCAACCTCCACCTGAGTATCGAGCCTTCTGCAACCTCTGAAAGGTTTTCTTCCAGGCTTTATCAGTGTTTAACTCCAAAAATCTTTCTAGCTTCTATTTCCTTGTGGGATATAAAAAAACATATTTCACACAGCACGACTGCCAACACCATGTTTCTAACAGGAAATCATAAAAATAAAAAACAACACAAATCCCAATCATTTCTCCGTTTTAATATTAACACTGCATCTGTATACATCTTCCACTGTAGGTAGGTCTTCATAGTTTCACTGGTGAAACTTTCTAATAAGGTGGGAAGGAAAGACCTTGTCAAAGAACAAGATAACAAGTACCCTCTTCATTATTCTGCTCTTGGGTGTTCAGAAAGCACCAGGCACAGATATAAACCGATGGATTCCATTCACGTATTTGAAAAACTAAGCAGAACTAAAGTGAGGATAGAAGCTTTCATCAGGAGCATAAAACAAAACCACAGCAAGAGGCAACTAAAACAACATGATAGGAATAATACCAGTAACACTAATAATAGATGGATGGAATGAAACAAAACACAAAGCACAAACAATTATTTTAAGCCTTAATTTCAAAGGGATTGGAGAATGTGCGTGTTTATGAGTGGAGTGAGCTTGGTGCTGTTGAACTGTTGCTGCTCCCTGCACGCGGCGGCGTGTGAGCGTGCGTGTTGGATATTAGTGGCAGCAGCGTGATTCTGCTGTGTGCACTCCCCCACCTCTATCATAAGCACCACCACCACCATCACCCCTCTGGTGGAATCAGAGAAAGCCCCGCGGCCCCGGCTGGTTTGCATAAAGCAAACAAAATTAAATTTGCTTTGCTAAATCAAAGCATGTATGGTATTCCAAGCTGCTCTCTCTGGGACAAATTACTTCAAACGGCCTCCTTTGTATCATAACAGAATTAGAAAAAAATAAAAAATCAGCCCAATCAGTGGCACTCCAAAACCCTCGACTCAGGAATTAATTATTGAACCGAGGGCTTTTCTCTCTCCTGGCAGTCTGTGACACAGATCTATTTATTTTGGAGAAGTCGTTTTACTCTTAAAAGCACACTGTTGGCTGAGAACATAGCTATCTCCTTCTCTTTTAGAGTTCTCTCTCCTCTTTGCAGCACAACCCCTGAAGGGAATGTGAATAGGTTTAGACTGCAAAATTAGTCTGAAAACTTCACAACGATTGCATACCATGGTGCTGGTTAAACACAGGAATTACTTCTGCTGTAATGGACTCTAGATGAACTGAACCTTTAACTGAGTTTCTGCTTCTTTTTACAAAAGGTCCCGTTCTATAAAACAACTGCTGAGACTAAAGGATTTCAGCCTTTAATTATTAAGAACAACACTTTGATTACTTGTGACTTTCTATATGAATATGAATAAATTTATAATAAGCCATTGATTATTAGAAATGTTTCAATAAGTATAATTTAAAATAAATGTACAGTAAAAATGACCTTCCTACACATATATTTCTTCTGAATTTGCTATTTTTTGTCACAGTTTAATATTCCAAAAGAAATTAAGTGCAGTAATATAAAAACGTCATCTAATAGATACCCTAGGCCAGGGGTAACCAAAATAAAAATCAACGGAGTCCGAATAAAGACAATCATCAACCAGTAAAGGTCTGGAGACAATTTTAATTATAATCTGTTACTTTACACAGAATATAACACTAAAATAAAATTAGGTTTTTATGCCATCTTATACATAAATAAAATGTATGAAAAGAAAGAATAGAAAATTTTTTTCATTTTAAAATCTAAACTTATAAAACACCTAAACTGACGTTTTTTTTTTTTTATGGGTTAATGAGAGCAGTGGGCTTCAGGCTGACCTGCAAGGTTTTAAACCTGGTTTTAAATGGAGACAAAGCCATTCTAAAGCACATATCAAGGTGCTCATTCTGAGCCTGGATCCATATTTATTTTTGATTCTGTTCATGGTGGAGAATCCTGCTTCACAGCAGCAGGTTGAGCCAAACATCCTCTAAATGTGCAGGGTCATCTTTGAGCACCATTTCACTTTTCTTTCACCAGTTCACCACAGTTCTTCCAGCAGTCCACACTTTCTCTGCTCTCTTTTTCTCATCGTCTTCTCCTTCTTTCCCATCGCCCGGCTTGCCACAGGTTTGCCTGCTGTGTCTAAAATTAGCAGCAGTCGCAACCCAGACTGACAGCAGCTCATTGGCTAAGTTGTATCACATGTAGCCTGATGCCCGGAGCCTCCAGAGGGCTTTACCATATTAACAGGAGAAGCGGCGCAAGTGAAGTTAGACACTGCCGTCGGACAACACGTGGTAGTTTATAAATGTTTTGAATCAGGTTGGGTCCGGATCCGGAGCCCGGTCCGCTAATCCATGACCACTGGTGTAGGAGAATTCTGGCT